AAATTGATTTAAATTAGAAACAATAATTGAAACACATTAAATAATTGAAACTGCACAATCAATACAATCGAATCAATTGTTCGAAAATCATCTAAATTAAGTTTTACTGTAATAATATTATCATTTAATATTTTTTCTGTATTTATATTTTAATAGTTATCATCATAAAATTGATTTAAATTAGGAACAATTTTTATTTGTTTTCCAAAAATCATTTTTTAATAAAACATAATACATTAAATAATTTATTATGCTATTTTCGATAATTTAATCGAATATTTAGCTGGTTTCTATTACAATAAACCTATTTAAAAATCCCGTAGTGACAAATTCTAAATTACTCTTTCTCTACCTGCTTTGGCCGTCGTGATTACTCCGGCCCCTTAGCCTTGCGCAGGGTTTCAAAGTAAACCAACCCGACCGTCCCCGACTCCGAGCTAGCCATCCTTCTCTAATTTTCATTTAAAAAGATCACGAGTATACACGAACGTGTCCACGGACGAACATGCGCAGAAAAAAGTCCTGTACTAGTCGTGTACGCGTACACGACGAGTCAAATTTGTGCGGTTGGAACGAACCTATTATTAACAATTGGACTAACATAAATTGGGTTAAATCGTAATAATTTAATGAAAGGAATTCACTGTTGCTCCGTGTCCCATTAGTAACGGACCAGCCTGTATAATATGAAATAAAATTATTCATTTATAGAAATATAAAATGTTTATAATAGATGTTAATATTTATACTAATATTAATACTTTTGCGCGATGATGCACGCCTGTTGTAGGTAAGTTCAGAAGCATCAAGTGTTAATTGAATTAATCTTAAATTACTAAAACATCTTCGGAATTAAATATTGGTAATAACAGATAATTAAAAACATAAAAATATTAAATCTGTGTCTAAAAACGTAGAATAGTTTAAATAGTGCCATCTATTGAGAGGAAACCTGACTATATATGCCATCTGGTGGCGTCAGTGACGTATGAGCTCTTTCATTTACCTCACCTTGAACGCACATGGCGTGCCGATGCCATTCCGCTTTATATGCAAGGCATGCAAGGAAGAGTATTTTTCGGAGAAGCATTTTTGTTTGGTGTTAGCAGTTTTTTAAAAAACAACGTTGTGGAAATGTCGAAATATTGGATAGGGAATCTTTCTTGCAATGTTTACGTGAAAACTTCCATCAATTATCCAGGAATAAACACAAAAGAGACAGACTTTCAATTCTGCATTTCGAATATGAGGAAGATGTTTTGATAACGTGAAGGTAAGAATTTTTATACAAAATTTTTAGTTATCAAAATAAAATTAACAACAAAAAAAATAATCAAAAAGAACTTTTCAATTATTTTTTTCTTTATGAATTAAAAACAATCGCGTTTTCTTTGGATTTAGTTAGTAATAAATATTCTTAAATATTATGCTGATTTTGGCAAGAGTTGGCGTTAATACATTTAACAGTTTAGATTGTTTAGAAAACAAACATATTTTTTATAAAGTGGTTTATATCTGATTCTGGAAGAGTGTTACTTTGCAATGATCCTGCATGATATCTTTGTTGGGTGACTACCTCTGCGATAGGTCTCAAAGGGTAAGGATCGGTGATGGTTTGTCTCACACAATTAGAGTTTTGAATGGTGTACCACAGGGTTCGGTGTTGGGGCCTCTCTTGTTCTCTTTGTACACTTTGCGGTTTAGTAGTCGGATACAATATTGTAAAGTCAATATGTATGCTGATGATATACAGTGTTATCTGTCCTTTCATGAAAATGATAAGAATCTAGCACAGATACGTATTAATGAGGACCTGTCTACTATATTTAATATTGCGACGTTTCTTAAACTAAAGATTAATCCTGATAAGTCTGCGTGTGTATGTTTCGGGAGAGGGAGAGGGGTCACAGGGCTGAACTTGGATCTTGATATTCATATAAATGGTACAAGAATCAATGTTGTTAAGGAAGCAAAATGCCTGGGTTTAACAATAGATAACACCTTCAGATTTAAAGCTCAAATTAATATTTACATGAGAAGGTCGTATTCATGTTTAAGAAAACTTTATCCTCACCGATCCGTTCTTTCGATAAAATTAAAAAAACAGTTATGTGATTCTCTTGTGCTGTCTCACTTCAACTTTATGGCGCCTGTGTATCATCCCGCTATAGATGTGCTTACATCGAATCGCATACAAAAGGTTCAAAATAGTTGCCTTAGGTTCATTTTTGGAATCCGGAAGTATGACAGAATCTCACACAAACTGAAAGATGTTGGGTGGCACAGAATGGATATCCGCCGGGAGTTGCACAGTTTGGTTTTGTTTCATAAAATCGTCACAACACATATACCGACATACTTGTATGAGAGGATTACTTTTAAAAGGGCTAACAATGCTCTACAAACGAGATTAAAATATGGCATATATCCACCAAAATACAGAACCTCTTTGTTTCACAGGTCTTTTACGTATCACATATATAAGTCATATGGAACGCTACCGCCTATGATCAAAAAACTAAATATCATTAATTTCAAAAAAACACTATATAAGGATAAATTTTTGGAGCAATGTGCAGCCTTGTCATAGTTATTCATTTGAATGATTTTTTTTTAACGTTCAGAGCAGGAGAGGGAGGAATATTCAAGAAATTGTATTGTCGTTGTCGTGGGACGCGTGTAGTATAATATTAAGTTTATGTATGTGGTAAGGTTGGTTGAACAGATTTTATCTGGAACCCGCCTATTGCACAATGCCATTTTTTTTCTTTTTTTTTTTGTAGTGTTAGGTACTAAGTTTTTTGGTCTCTTGTTGTTTAAACATTCTTGTTTAGAATATATCTACACTATAAATACAATTTTTGTTATTATTATATATATTTTTTCTTTTGTTGTATACAATGGTATGTGGAATAAAGACATTTATTATTATTATTATTATTATACTGTGATCCTGAGAGTGGAGTCATAGGACTATAATATTATTTAATGATTTTCTTTCCATTTTATGTTTGATGTAAATAAAATTCGTTTTCGCACTTTAAATGGATTTTTTATTTTTATTATTTCTTTACCGGTTTTGCCATTTGTTATAGCAACATCAGGAGAATACATCAATGGTTATAAAAGCATCTTACTAAAGAAGTTACTGGGCATTTCCTTTTGTATTTACACTTTTAAATTACACTGAGAATTTTGTAAAATTATGATTAGAGAGGATTAACACAAAAGGAAATGCCCAGTAACTTCTTTAGTAAGATGCTTTTGTAACCATTGACGTATTTTCCTGATGATGCTATAACAAATGGCGAAACCGGTAGAGAAATGATAAAAATAAAAAATCCATTTAAAGTGCGAAAACGAATTCTTTTTACATAAGGCTATAAGACATTTGGCGTCCAACAGTTTTTTTTTTCAATTTTATTTTGTGACCTTTGTAATTTTTGATTTTTTGTTGTTGCTAAGAAACAATACATTTGGAGCCCAACGTGGGGCGAAGCTTAAGCAAAGCTTAATAAAGCAAGGTAAAGCAAAGTAAAGACCATTAAAAATTAAATTAAATTGAAAAATTAACAAACATGTCTGAAAAACAAGGAAGAGGAAGCACATTAGCAAGAGAAAATAACGAGGAAAGAGAAGCCAGTATAAGTCAAACTAGAAGTGAAAGTAGAATCATAGCAAAAGAGGTCACTAGAGTGGAGAAAGGGAAGAGTAAGGGAAGGGAAGTAATTAAACCAGTACCAATAGAAAAACAAAGTAGTTCAGGGGATGATAAAGGAAAAAGTGAAGAAGGAAATGTTATGAAAATGTTGCGACAATTAATGGAAGAAAATCAAGAAATCAGAAGAAAAATTAGAGAAGAATCAAAACTTCAAAAATAAACATCAAAAATTAGAAATTAAAAATTTGTTTGAAGAAAATCAAAAGAAAACAGCAGAAAATATTAAGAAAATAGAAGAAAAATTAGAAGAGAATCAACTGAGAATAAATGAGAGTTTTATTCTAATATATGTGAACATCAAAAAGAATTCAACACAAACATGACCAATTTGATAGCAATGACAAAAAATTAGAAGACTTAGAAGAAAAACAAATTAATATAGAAAAGGAAATAGTATTGATATGTATAACAATGAAACATAATTCAGAGATAATTGGGAAGATTGAATCACATGTAGTGGAGTTAGAAGATAATACCAAGAAAGAAAACCAGAAAATAAAAGAAGTAATTGAAGAATGGAATCAGGAGCGAAATCATGAATTTGAACGAAAGAAAGAGATCGAAAATTTTAAGAAACAAGGATGGTAATGTTTCCAAAATTTATTGTTTCTTAGCAACAACAACAAAAAAATACAAACGTCACTTAACACTTTGCTGACTGGCAATTTTACACAGAAACTATGTCATGTTACTGGCTATTTCTTTGTAATTGAATATGAAAGTAAATAAACTCCAATAAATTTTATTTATACTAAATGAAATGAAATTAAACTTTGGACATTTTTTATATAAATTTTAATAATTTTTTTTGGTATGATAAACTGTATGGTACGTGTAATACCTACGTGTAATGGTACACAACAGGTTTTGCAGATATAAGTATGAGAAGAACTGCCAGGTGCTGTGCTGCATTCATTTGAATCTACAGAAAATTTGCCAAATACTGATCTACATGGTCGACTCCTTTCATATGTTTATTGTATTGTAGTATGTACGAAGGTTTCACTTTATCATTTGTATAACTTTTATTCCGCTTTTCAGTTGATATAGACGCATCATGAATAGTTGATATCATGCGCACCAACCTTTTATCTTTCCATGTGAGAAGAAGAATGGGTCCTTTCCGTACAAAAGTCATTTGCCCTCTCTAAAGATTCTTGGACTTTTCTATTAGTACCTTTGGCAAGCCATGGTTCTCTTGTATGGTACCACATACAAGTATTTTGTTTTCTAATAATATCAGCTGTAGAAACGTCGTTGTAGTAATTATCTTGATATACATGATGCCAATAACCAAAATACTGCTGCAAGACTGATAATATAGTTTGTTAGTATGTAGTTTTTGTCCTCCATCCGAATAAATCTAAGAAAAATAATTGCAGAATCGAAAACCTTAACCTCTCATATAATTTAAAAACTCATTTTCACTGTAGAAAGCGCCTTCAATAAGTACTTTCTTTAAGTCTTTTTTAAAAATAGTTGTAGGCTTTTGTAACCATTGCTTGGGAAAAGCATTTAACAAATGACGGTGACCGTATCTTGTCATAGTTGTTTTCATACGGCAGTACGGTATGGCGACTTGTGTACTATTTCTTAAATTTATCTGAGTGTCCTCTTTATCTGAGAATTCTATTTTAGCCTTGCAAAGTTGTTGGTAGATGTACACGGATGGAAGTGAGTACATTATATTTTTTAAATAGGGGCTTACAGTGAGTTCTTGGATGCGCCTGTTCAATTATTCTTAGCGCCTTTTTCTGCAGTATGAAAACAGGCATAGTCCGAACAAGGCGTAGTCCGTAGCTCATCTTGCTATGGAAAAAAGCAAAGTAAGCGGTTCTAGCAGCAGAGGCGTTTACTATTTGGCGAATTCTTAAAATAACGTAAATGGCAGATGACAGTTGTTTCACCAATATGTCGCTATGATCTTTCCAAGTGAGTCTACTGTCCAAGTTGATACCTAATAGTCGGACGGTGGCCGTCTTTTGCTCAGTGTTACGATTAGTAGTCAAAGTGATTACTTCGGTTTTGTTATCATTTAAGGTCAAACCGTTGTTACTGAACCATTCAGCAGCCTCTTTCAGAGCACAAGCTACAGCTGTTCTGACCGGTACTCAACTCTCTATCAAAGTTGTATCATCTGCATAGAGTATGGCTTCAGATGAAATATTTTCAGGTAGATCATTGATATGTAAATAGAAGATTAGTGGCCCCACCGGCGATCCCTCCGGTACTCCGTTTATCACAGGTAAACAAGAACTCATTTCACCGTTGAGGCTGACCGCCTGACTCCTATCTGTTAGGTATGAAGCAATCAGTTTCAGTGGTCTTGCACGTATACCATATTTTTCCAGCGTGGCAATAAGAAGAGTATGTTGAATGGAATCAAAAGCTTTTGTTAGATCACATAGGATCGCTGTTGTTTCATCTCCATTTTCCATAGCTTCCCAAACATTATTAAGGAGAGCCTCCACAGCATCAATTGTGCTCACACCTTTTCTGAATCCAAACTGTTTGCTGCTGAGTAGCTTATACTTTTCGAGATAAGATGTTAA